TGCATGAGATAAATTGAGTTACGTCAGGAATTATTTTGACCTGTCTCTTCCATTTTATTGGACAAATTCTTTGCTTCAGTGCTTGACTTTCCCTTGCTTAACATTTTCTTCTATTTAGAGACAGTAACAATTTAAAATATTACACATAGCCTTTTAGCAAGGAATCACTGCCCCTCTGCATCTAGACTCAACAGCAGCTATGTACTTAAAAATAACATACCAGAGGAGCTGAAGGCATACCCTCACCAACATGCAACTGCAATTTCATGATACAGTAAATGCCATTTTTGGATAGCCACGAGGCACAAAATTCTTAGAAATTCAACCCAATCACTTTTTTAGAAACAAAACAAAGCAAAGAGTAAAGAGTGGTTTTACCCTGATGATTTTACATCCAAGTTGGTATCATTTATCTTTCTGCTGCCACTATAAAGCCAGGATAAAGCCTGGTGTAAACGCTGTCACTCAGCACTGGCTGATCTTGTCCAGAATGCAATTATATGCTTGTGTTTGTTCCGGATCAATGTACCACCGTTGTACAGATCACATATTGACAAGCATAGTCGGCCTCCAGACAGTTTCAGAAGGGCTGAGTTTGAGGGATCAAAAAGAAGATGGAGAAAATCCGGTTCAGAATAAAGGGAGGAATACACAGGGATGTCCCCACTGACAAAGTAGTTACCACCACTCTGCCTCTCTTCTTCCTGCACCATCTGTGCATCACAGTCTACCAAAGTGTAATTGTGCCACTGAACAATTGTTTTAGAGAGCACTCTCATTCACAGCACGGCTTTACAGCAGAGAGGACACTGAAAGTCACAACCATTAGCTGACAGTTCCTACTCCTAGCTGAATTTATGGTCACACGTTTATTAAATCCAGATCTGCGCACGGCTGACTTGCCAGCAGACAGATCTGAGCCAGCTCATGTGGAGATACACAACTGCATTTCAGACATCAGCTCAGTGGTGAATCAAGAGCACCCGTCCGACCCCTCTGGCACTGCGCGCCGTCAGCGAACACAGCGAGCCCAGCCTGTGGCTCTGGCTGCCATACAGACCGAGGGATGGCAGCCCTGATACACCATGGAGGAAGGAGCCGTGTGGGCCTCCTTTGTTACCAACATCACCACAATAAATCCCTCAGCTGCTGCCGTATGTATACAGCTACAGCGGGTCTCACGTACGGCTTACAGTTGGGCTGCAGCTCCCAAAGCAAGATTAATTGGGGCTTTCAAAATCCCAGGCCTGTGTGGGATACTGACATCCAGCCTGATGCCACAGTGGCAGTCACTTTATTTCTTTCTGTTCTGAAAAAAAAATAAAAATCAGAGTGGTTAAGTTTAAGCCTCATAATACAATTTTACTTGTATTTAGCTTCCTACTGCTGCCCATGTAAAAAACACCACCATAGCCATTGCTTTTGGTTAGAAATGAAAAGTTTACAACATCTATCATCACAAAATGGAATTTTACATCACTGAAATATTTACAACGGGAAACTTATCACGGTAAGATTAACCTTATTTCTCTCTACAAGTAAATTCCAGATTAACAATGAGGATCTTTTTCAGTATTTCCATTGACTGATAAAAAGCAATCCAGAATAAAAGGCAGTTCTCTCTTGCTGAGGAAAGGATGTGAGAACCAACAGGGCTTTTTGACTCCTACATTCTTCAATTATTAGAAGTATATATATAAAGGGGGTTGGGTGGGAAGTGATTTTCATTCACTATGGCTTGCAAGCTGTTTTAAATTGCAATCCATAGAAATGACTCAAGATTTAATGAGCTCCTCAGACCACTAAAACATGATGTAAGGCACTCAGTTGTCTTCACCCATCTTCTGTGTTACGACAAATGTCGTAACAGATGTGCTCCTGACCCTTTAAAACGAAACACGACATGATAAATTACCTCTTATGCAAACTTAATCAAAACAGACACTAAGCTGTCTCAAAGAGAAAAATAAAGACCAAGCACATCACCTAAAAATCTGGCATATAACCACACTTATCATAAGGGAATCAACCCTGCCAGCAGTCGGTTCTGAAGAACGCCCAATTTCCCCCTAAAGATAATTTAAACAGACCAACTATGAGACTCTTATTTGCAGAAATGACAGACTATGAACTTCTTCCAGCACAAAAGGCGAGACTTGTGACACAGACCTGGCAAAACACCTCCTGTAAAACCAGCTATGACTACAAAAAGGACAGCAAGAAAGAAAAAAAAATCAAATCATCTTCCAAAAACCTTCTGATTGAAAGTCTAACAGAGAGATAAATAAAATTCATATGTGTTTCAAAACGGAAAAGCAATCAAAGTTCCAGAAAACAAAGTAGATGTGAGGGAATTATTCATGTAAGAAACAGTTTATTGGAGCATACCCTAAATTTTGTTGAGATTATAACCTTTTTCGCTATCTGGCACCTGTCCCTCTGTTGGCAGGAAACTGCCCAGTATTAATTACAGTGGTATTGTTATTATGCAATTCCATGAACTAAAGAATAGTTCTCCCATGGTAGAAGTGCCATGGTTACAGTGCAGAACCGTGGCTGTCATTCTTTAGTTGACTTTTTCACAAAATCTCTTCCTGCCCTGGTTAGCTCTGCAGCCACACATGACAGATTTAAGCAGTACATGGGAAAATGAGATGGTTAATGAAAATTTAGATCTTTAAAATTTATATCACATATCTCACCTAAGGATTAAACAGCTTTGCTTGGTAAGAACCCTGCACGCAGAACTAAGTTTTACACCTAGAACACGTGTAGGATCAGGCTCATGCACAAAAAAGTGTCTTTGCAGAATACACAACATGCAGGAAAAAATGAAGTTTTGAGGACTGTGTGCCACCATTGCAGAGACACACAGCCATGAAGAAGGCACTACAATTTTAGTGCTCTTCTGTATTTTGTAAGGTTAAGTCATCCTACTATCATGGGACTGAAGGTAACAGACTTTCCTCAAGATATATTTCAAACCCACAACAGAGAAAGCTACATCAGTAATGCAAAATATTGAAAATTCAACTGTTTGCTCAAATTAATAATTAAGTTATAATGCAAAATTTTATTCATCACAAGTTTGTCTGATTTCAGCACGACATTTATATAAAATATCCCAACTGACCACTTATAATTAGGACAGTCTCTTTTCCTTGCTTGGATCACACATTGTTTTTATCTTTGTCATTCATTCATTTATTTTATTTTAAAACCCAGTCTTGTTTCCACTGAAGCCAGCAGGAATTCTGCCACTGAATTGGTGGAAGAGAGACTGTTCTCCACAGCTCACTCTTTTCTGCTAGTAATGATTGGGCTTTTACTTTGCAGTAGATTTTTTCTTGTATCAAAAGTTATATTTAAATATTGGAAGATTAAAAATGACACTGCTAAATGAAAGCAGGAAAAGAATGGAGTATATCTTACACAAATGCATAAAAAAACACAGATTTAATGAAAACATCTGTGATGAAACATAACACCAGGATTTTTCTCACGAACCAGATTCCTCTCTAACGTAAATTAAAAGTTTGCTCAGTGGGCAAAAATATTCAGAGCCAACTGTCAACTCATCTGCATTCAAACTGATTTTGAAGTCATCTTTAATTGCACTTTACGTAGTTGGAAAATACATCTCTTACCAAGGCTGTGCTGTTTTATGTAATCACCTCCTTTTCATACGGTGATTAAACCTAGACGAGAGTGTGGGAGCATTTTAGAGGTTGTGATGCTTATGATTTCTTGCTGAGGGACACCTGATCACCACAGCAGCTGTCAGAACCAAAGCTCTGCATTCAGAGCACAACGGTGAGCAGTGGTGTCAGGAGGTGAGCGCTGCTGACAGCCCCCACTACACACACTGTGCCATGCCAGCCCGTAACAGGAAAATGAAAACCCTGATATCTTCCTGTTGGCTGACCCCTTCCTCCCCCCGTTTCCTTTCTGAATAAAATTTTACCACTAAAGGTTTTAAAAAATAATGTGGGGTGGTTCCTGGGAAGGAAGGAAGAGTGGTTGGTGCCAGCACACTTCTGCTTACCTGCTTTGGCTGCAGTGGTGTCATACTGCCCATCTTAGCAAGGACTTAAGAAATACCACCAGTATTTCAAGTACCATGATAGTAAGCAGGCAAATTCTTTTCCTTACCAAAACCAGCATTATACTCTGCAAAATCCTGCACTGTGTACAAGGAGCTCCATTGACACACAAAACTTCACAGCCACTGTGGGAAAAGCACCCAGCAGCGCTCCAGCACCTGACCCAAGAGCCAGGGGCAAGCAAGGCTGCAGAGAAAACATGATCACCGTGAGCTCCAGACTCCTTTCTGGACACTCAAATCAGACTAACTTGTGATGAATTAAATTTCTTCATTGTAACTATTAATTTGAGCAAACTGTTGAATTTTCAGTATTTTGCATTACTGATGTGGCTTTCTCTGTTGTAGATTCATAGAATATTCTGAGTTGGAAGGAACCCGTAAGAACCATCGAGTCCAGCCTCTGGCTCCACACGGGACCACCCAACTCAGACACCCAACTCGACCCTCTCACAATATGGCACCAGCCCAGCTCCTGTCCCTCACCCTTCTGTCACCCCCACCTCTTTTTTCCCTTTGGGACACCTTCGAAGTCCCGGCGGCTCTACGGACGCTCCCCGGCTCGCCCAGCCGGCTCCCCCACCCCCTCCCAGCCCCTCTCTCAGCTAGCTGCCGGCGGCTCGAGCTCCTCCCGCTCCCTGCCCGACTCGTGCGGGGCGCCGAGCGCCGCCAGGCCGCGCCGGGAAGCCCAAAAGCAGACGGCGGCCGGAAGGCTCCCCGCAGCCCGGGCACGGCAGCTCCCCGAGGGGAGGAGAGAGCACGGCGAGGACAGCCGACCTCGCGACGGCGGCGGCACGGATCCGGCCGGGCCCTGCCTCCCCCCCGCCCCTCCGCGGGTCACATGAGAGGGGCGGGCGGCTGGGCCGAGCCGGCGGCCGCCGCCGGGGTGAGGCGGCGCCGGGTGGGGAGGGCCGGGGCCGGGGAGCGCGGCGGTGGCGAAGGAGGAAGAGAGCGGCGGGAGGAGCTGAGCCCGGGGCCTCCCTGAGCCGCGGCCGTCGCGGAGTGCGCCGCGCGCGGCCCCAACATGGACGAAGAAGGCGGCGGAGGTGGCGGTGAGTGGCGGAGGGGCCGCGGCCCCGCACCTGGCCGCCGTGCCGAGGCGGCGCCCGGACCGGGGCTGGGGAGCGCGGCCGAGTCCGGGACGTGCGGCGCGGCACCGCGCCTTTTTTTCCTTTCCGCGCTCCGTGCCCCGTCCTGCCCGGCTCCTCCCGGGCGCGGGGGCAGCGCCGGTGCCGGCGGCCACGATGGGGCTCCGTGCCCGCGGCCGGAAGGTTCGGCCGGACGGAGGGCCGCTCTCGGGGCGGCGGGGCCCCGTCCGTCGGTCGGTCGGCGCTGTGACAACCCCGCGTTGGCTCCGATCCCGCCCGGAGATATCGCGGCGCTCCCCGGGCGCAGCTGCGCGTCCGCTGGGAGGAGGGAGAGAAAAGTGTGTATCTGGCGTTTGTGCGAGCGGTGAAAGGAATAATTATGCTCTGCGAGGGCTTCTGTTTGTGTGTCATCCTAATGGAGGCTCGGTGATAATCCCGGAGTGGTTCATCCAGTTTAAACAAGGCGAACCGTTCCTAAAGGCAGCGATGCTAATGTTCCCAAACAGCACTTTTAGCAAATCGGGGCTTGCATCCTAGGGGAGCTTTTAATCTTTAATCTTTCGGAGGCTGCAGATTGTCCCGGCTGAAGGACGGCGGGTTTGCAGCCTGCTTTCTTCGTCTTGTTTCTAGTGTGCTTCGTGCGTAAAGCTCCCTTCCCTCTGGAGGAGCCCTCCGCTGTGTGCCCGGCCGGCTCCATGTGCTCGGTGGCTGCAGGGCTGCCCTACATTCGCTGTAACCCAACGGCTGCTCGGTGCAGATGGCTGCCAAGTGTTAAACGCGCCGTGTTTGAGGGTATCGCTTGTTTCTAAATGGATAAAATAATGGCTAAGGCTCGTATGATTAATAGCTACACGGTGATTGCTAATTTTAAACGTAATTGCCCAGAACTCGGAAATCAGGTGGGTGTGGTGTTTGTTTTGACAACTTGGGAAAGAAAAAAGCTCCGATGAATCAGAGGAATAACTCTTGAAGGAGCGTGGCCATTTCTCAGCTCTCTCACCTGCCTCATCAGTGTTAGGCTTAAGTCTTTTGCCAGGAAAACAAAGAACGAAACAAGCCAGTTCTCCTTTAAAAATTATCATTGGAAGCAATTGAACACTGGAATCAGAAGATTGACAGAACTCAACGTACATTATTTTCACAGTGTTATGAGCTGTTTATTTGCAGGAGAGGGAGATGGAGATGCTTGCTGTTGGCACCAGCCCTGTGTCATGTTGTAGTTCTGATGTGCCAGGCTCAGACTGGAACATGGACCTCTTGCTGAATCAGTCCTGTCAGGTGTGTGTGTTTCAGAGCTAGACTTTCTCAAGAAGAAAAGCACCCAGAGCCTGGAAGGAGGCAGTCTGTCCTGCAGTGCTCCTGGGGAGGAAGAAGTCAGATTTAATACAGAATGAAACTTTTAATTTTGTATCACACCAATGAATGTTTAACTTTCTTTTAATATCCCTCCCTATTTGGCTTTATTGTAAAACATTTGTAGGCTAATAAGATGGTTCATTTTTCTCCTATCTGTATTTGATGGTTGACGCTAGTCTCTTGTGAGTATTGAACTCTTTTCCTGACTGGAGATCCTATCTGACTTTTTCTTATGGAGCACAGTCAGTTTGGAACACCAGAATTAGATCATTTCCAGCTAATGCATTGTTGTTTTGAATTAAGTCTTCCCTCCCCCTCTCCCCCTTCTTTTTGCACAATGGAAAGCATGTGGGAAGTGTTGATTTGACAGCCAATTTCAGTGCGCCTTGGTGCTACCAAGCAGTGAGGCTCTGGGTCTGCCAGGGGTTCTCAGCAGTGCTGTCTGGTGCTGGAACCTTTGTAGGATGTCTGTAGTGCCCCAGAAATTCTCATGGTGAAGTGACAAACTGGTGCAGCTGAGCTTATCGGTGTGCACAGGTACTGCAGGCAGCAGGACAATTATTTGAGGACTGTGCCAAATCATCCTAATTAGAGGCTTGATCTAGATAAGCATCTAAATATCTAGGGCACTAAACTGTGATTCAGAAGGTAAATGCAGTTCCCAGTTCAGCTTTGCCTGCTGCCCTGCTCCTCAGTTTCATTTGCATCTGATGCTTCAGTTCCTTCATCTGACAAATGGGGTCAGCTACTTTGCCATCACTTGTGAAAGCTGTGAATAAAAGCAGGGCTGTGTAAAGTCAGGATTATTTTAGAAACACTTGGCAGAAGAGAAATGTTAATCACGGGAATTGTTCTCGATGTTTTCTCTCTTCTGTGTGGAGTCTAAATGGGGGCATGCGTTTATTCTGTACAAGCCATTTACACACAAACCTCCCGTTGCTCTCAGCGGAGGCTGTGTGCATGGATTATTGATGCGATATGATCCGCGTCAGTTGGTGTTCGTCTCAGCCTCCTTTTGTGTTCTGATTAAAATATCTCTGTGGTTCACTTCATCCAGGAAGTCTCTCCCCCTCCCTCTCCTCACTTGGGTTAAAATCACACATTCTGTGATCTGAGTGAGGCTTTTCTTACATGCTCACTGTTGTCCTGTAGCAGTGGTACTGCTCAGTCGGGATCTTCGCATGGAGTGTTGCAGCAGGTGTGCCGAAGGCAGGCTGGCATAGTACTGCTCTTTGTTCCTCTGAACTTGAGTTGTGCAGTTGCTTCGTAGTCTCCAAATCCAGCTCAGTGCCATTCCATGTGGAAAAGCCTATGGGATCGAGTACTGAGTGACTTCTGTATGCATGTTTGTTTTGAGCTCTCATTACTCTCATCAGGCGTGCTAAAAGGTTAAAATCTTGCTTGTACTCAGCAAATACACGAAGCTCTAGCACTGACTGTGACAGTGAGGATTCTCTATTGCTCCTGGAGCTGTTTGTTTCCAAATGCTGAGGCTTTCCTTGGGGTTGGAGAGCAGTTTAGCTGGCAGCCAGTTGTTGGCTGTGCTCGCCAGCGATGGTGCCAGGTAGCACGTGGATTTCTGGTATGGAGGCAGACCATCAGGAGCTGGACCAGAGGACCAGATCATCTTGCAGAAGACTCAGAAGAGCAGATTTGCTGCCAAACCAGATTTAGCAAGATGACTTCTATTTTTCTGCGTGGCAAAGCAGTTATCTGCTTATAGGTAAAAGCTGTTAAATGTAATTAAAAAGGAAGACCACCCCCCCAAATTTCTCCATGGAAAGTTGTTTTATCTGTATATTTCAGCAACCTGTGGATTGTAGCGTCTTTCAAAGGCAGATATTAAAGATAGGGGAGTTCATGTGACTTGCTCATGGTTATAGACGTTTGCATTGCATTCAAGACTGAATTTGCATGTTTTGTTTAAAATAAAAGAAACTCACAAAATAAGAAATGTGTTAAATAAAGAAGAATATTAACTGTGTTTTTCTCCAGACTCATCAAAGTGGATAACTGGTGCTGGTGGTTTTAAAAAGTTGTCCCAAAAGTTCTTTGGAGTTCTAATGCTGAGAAAGTGCCAAGAACAAAAAAATGCACCTGAGTATCAGATTAACCTCCTGGTGCTAGGGAGAGAAATAATGGCAAATTCAGACATACAACTCAAAAGGAAACAGCATAAATGTCTTCTGTCAGCCAGCAGGGCTTCAAACTAAGTCTCTTTTTGCAAAATAAATACTTCTCTGTGTTCAGCTTACTTCAATTTGTACAGATTACATGTTGGTTCATTAGGGGTCTTAACTTTTATCCCCAAATGCATTAGTATTAGTAATTAATTGTAAATATGAGTTACTTGTAGTGGTATCAGAAAGTAGACTTCTTAATTGCAGTAACATGTCAAGGTTTTTCTTAGCCTAATGTTTGATATTTGTAGCTGTGGCTTGGAAGAAGACATTACATTTTTGCTGATAAAATTTCCAGAGACTGCCAGACTTGAATCGTTGAGTAATGAGATTTGGGGGCTGGTGCACAGCAGCATAATCAGGACCTGGGTTTTAGTGGAACAGTGTGCCTCTAACATAGCATCTGTGGATTATTACATTTAGGAAAAAGCCCTGTAGAGTTTGCTTGGAGGAACAGAGAGTACTTTGCAGAGCAACGTCTGGGAATCACAGCAATAGCCATGTGAAAGTGGCTTTCCCGTGTGCTGCTGTTACAAAATGGATATTGCAGTCTTGTAATATCAGTGGAGCGTAAGAGCCTTTACCAGGTGAGGGGCTGCATGTCTCGAGGCAGCACAGTGCTTTCCAGGAGACATCCTGCAGTTCACATCAAGTTTCTCAGTCTGATCCCCTTCTTTATAGAATTTTCCACGCTTTTTAAAGGGAAAGTTGATGAAATGCAGTGTAGCTTTCCTCCAGTTCCTTCTGCTTGCCATCTTTTCTAGCGATAAGTTTCTCACTTGCTGGCACAGCTTTTAGCTCTTGATTAAAAGCTGTAAGCCATTCTGCTTGTACTATAGCTCCATCTTATCCACTGCTATCTTTTGCTTGCTTCCTTTCCTCCCTAAGCAAGCATGCTTTTGTCTGTTTCTTTTTACATCGTCTTTGGCCACAGTTGCTTGTTGAACTACTGCCCCATCTCCTTTTCATTTTGGAAGTCATTGAATGAGCTGTTTGCAGTCACTGTCTGAAGAGCATCTCCTCCAGGTTCATCCTAGGTCCTTTCCACACTTGTCTTGACCCCTCATGCTTAGAACATTCCCTTCCTTGTTGTCCATCCAGCTGTCTCTAGTCCTGTTTACTATGCTTTTCTTCCTGAAATCTTGCTCTTTCTTGGCTTCTTTCTCTCTTGGCTCCTCACTCCCCTCCTGTCCTGTTAATCCCTTTTTCATATGGAAGATCATCTTTCTGCTTCCAACTTCTTGCTAGGATTTGCAGGGCTCTGTGCTTGCCTTAATGCTCTCTTCTCCAGTACATCTTCATCTGGACAATCAAATTTGCAAATAAAAATTGAACAATCATGTTTGAAGTGATGACTCACGGCATATACTGCCTGCTCTGGTTCCACTGCCATCTGTCCCAGCTAAAATGTTGGCCTGCTTGACATCT